TTATAAATTGTGCTGCTATGAACATAGGGGTACATATATTCTTTCTGATGAGTGTTTCAGGTTTCTTAGGATATATTCCTAGAAGTAGGATGACTGGGTCAAACGGGAATTCCATTTTTAATTTCTTGAGGAAACTCCATACTGTGTATGCTTAATTTCTAACTGGTGTTTTTTTATGTTGTTGATGTTCTCACTAAGTTCTGTGAATTTCCCACTAAGTTCGTTGAGTAACCTTATAACCATTGTTTTGAACTCTGTATCTGGTAGTTTTCTTGCTTCCATTTCATTTAAGGTCTTTTTCTGGATATTTCTACTGTTCTTTCATTTGAGACAGGTTTCTTTGTCTCTGCATATTGGCTGCTTCCCTATATTTATTTCTATATATTCAGTAGATCTATTACATCTCCCAGACTGGTAGAATGGCCTTGTGTAGTAGGTGTCCTGTAGGGCCCAATGGCTCAGCATTCCCAGTCACTTGAGCTGGGCACTCCAGGTGCAACCGTGTGAACTGTGTGCAATATCCTATTGTAGTTGAGCCTTGATTTATGTTGGCATCACTGGGTGGGATTGACCCCCAGGCCAATCAGTTGAGAGGCTCGGCTGAGACTACAACAGAAGAACTACTGTACTGGAGCCGACCCTATGGAGCAAGACTAGCTTCAGTGGGGCTTTGGTGCTCACCGAGTACACCCCTTGAGTGTGTCGCTCATGGAGGTAGTAGGGTTGTAATCTAGCATGGCTGAAGCTGACCACTAGGTTCACTGGCTCTGTGGCCTCTCAGGAGGTGAAAAGTCAGCCATTGCCTGTGCCCTGCCCAGGGCTACCCAGCATGAGCTACAAAACAACCTGCAGATGGCTGCTTCTTGTGTTGGGCTTGGAGGTGCCCAAGAGAGGCCAAACTATAAACTAAGGGGGGATGCTGCTAATGCTGGGCCTGGGGGCACTTATTGAGAGGTTCAGGGCACAATGAGACCAGCTGCTGCTTGTTTGAGAGATTTTACGTAAGTCCAAAGCATGAGACAAGAGAGGCCAGTTGTATGGAAAAGCCACTGGAAATGGCTTGGATGAGCCTGGAAATAAGGAGGGGCAGGGTCTCAGGAAATCACCATGGCAGGGTGAAAAATGTGAGCCAGATTGATAGAGATTCGGATATGGTGCCTGCCTGTAGGCTCTGTGGCAAGGAGTACTAAGCAAAGGAAGATTGGCCTCTGCCAGCACTTGTGTCTGGGAAAAAGTTGCCCCTCCTGCTCTCACTCTGATTCCAGACAAGTTGGTTCCTCCCTAAATGTTCCAGGTTCCTTTCAAGCTGTTGCCCCAGTGCTGGAACTCAGAGAGTGTGAGTCCAAGTAAGTCCATGGGCAGGCCCTTTAAGAGGAACTGCCTGGATCTCCTGCAGCCTCCGTGTCACTCAGCCACAATCCCTGCTGCTTTTTACAACCAGAAGTTATGGGGACTTCACTTCCCAGCACGGGAACCCTGGACTTGGGGGCCTGTTGTGGGGCTAGGAAACCTCCACAGCCAAGATATTCCTCCTGATTTTAAACTGCCATATGTGGGTGTGGGACTAGCCGGTTCCTTGATTGGCCCTGTGTCTCTGCCCCTCCTACCAGTCTCCGTGCCTTCTTAACTCCCTAGTTGTAAGGACTTCCGTTCAGCTACATTTCATGTGGTTCTGAATGATGGTTGTTCTGTATTTTTGTTTTAATTTTGATGTGGTTGTGGGAAATGGTGAGTACCACATTTACCTATGCCACCATCTTGACTGGAACACTCACATATGCCTTTCTTTAATATATTCTTAAACAGCATCTATTCATTCACACTAATTCAACAAATATTTATTCAACAAAAAGTTCCAGGCACTATATGGGCTACTGGAAATGTGGAAGTAAAAGATGAGGTCCCTCATAGTGTCATAATTCAAAGGTCAGAATACTACATAGCTCATTGGCCAAATCCAGCCAGCTGCCTGGTTTTGTTAATATTTATTTTAACACAGCCATGCTCATTCTTTTTTGTATTGTCTATAGTTGCTTTTTTGCTAAAATGGCAGAGGTGAGTAGTTTCAACAGAAACTGTATGGCCCACAAAGCCTAAATATTTACTATCTAGTCTTCTATAGAAAAAGTTTGCCAACCTCTGATATAGACCCCCTATCTCTTAATATAACAAAAGAAATGTAACTACATTTCAAAGAATAATAAATCTGGAAAAGAAATTGATCTCAGAACACAAATCCAGTAAGTTCTCTATTATGTACACTGTACACACTATACATCTAACTGATATTTCTGTGCTTCTCAAATACAATGAACGGCCAATATTGGGCAAATAAAGTACCTGAAAGATACTGAGGCATTTTCTCAAACATCAAAGAAGGATTAAGTACATGTCTAGTGTTAAATATATTTTAATAAATTATAATTTTTTAAAATTGGACAAACACAGTTTTACCATCTTGTTGGAAAAAAGATTACCGTACTTAAACTTCAAATTTTTTGTCACGTTTCCCTGAGAGATATTACCAAAAGAGACATTCAGTCTATCAGAAAAGAGTAACTGCTTACTGCTTGCACTACAGTAACAATAAAATGTCTTTAAGCTTTCTGTAAATGACTGAAATGTTTAACTGTAAAGACAACGTAAGAGGTCATTAGCTTTAGAAATAAACAATGCTAGTGTCATGCACTTTGTGGACATAAAGCTATAAATTTGCTTCTTCAACAAAGTGAGTAACTCTAAAAGGATGTCGTAATTTTCACTATCAACACTAATAGAAATTTATAAAATGAAATAGATAAGATGGATTACCATACCCAAACTGTGTTTCACTCATTTAGAACAAAGTTTTCAGACAATTTAAATGCACAGCTTTGAAATTATATATTTAGAAGTGTGTGTGTGTGTGTGTGTGTGTGTGTGTATGTGTGTTCAGAGACTCCAGAGTCCAGTTCCAAGAAGGAATTAATACTTTCTTAGCAAAAGGAACGGGTTATGAAAACCTTTTGTGATCTACTTTAGAAGTAGTTGTGTCAGCAAAAAGCTGGATTTAATTAGCAGACTAGTGATAACAGTCATGATCTAAAAGTTATCTAACCTCAGTCATAAAGGGCTTGATTTTTTTCTCTCTTATTAACTAGGGCTTTCAAGATTATTAGGCTCTGGCCAGTTTGGCTCAGTGGTTGAGCATCAACCCATAAACCAGGAGGTCAGGGTTTGATTCCAGGTCAAGACACATGCCCAGATTGCAGGCTCAATCCCCAGTAGGGGGTGTGCAGGAGGCAGCTGATTGATGATTCTCTCTCATCACTGATGTTTCTATCTCTCCCTCCCGCTTCCTTTCTCTGAAATGAAAAAAAAAACAAAAACATATTTTTTGTAAAAGATTATTGTATTTGCAGGTTCCTCCTTCAAGATTCCAGGGTGGCATCACATGCCATCATCCTAAACAGACAGACTGACTCTCAGCAGAATGGCCTAAGTTAGAAGTCCCAGACAGAGAGGGGGATAAAGCTTTCTTTTCACAAAGATAACATAGCATTTCTAAGTGCTCTTGCCAAAACTGGAGCACTTGATAGTGGACTTGCTTAGTAGGCAGTAATCCAACTACATTTCAAACAAACTAAGAAACCACTTTCAATAAAAACCAACATAGAGCTCGGCCTGTGTTGCTTGGTGGTTAGCATCGCCCCATGCACCAAGAAGTCCCCCATTCAGTTCCTGGTCAGGGCATTGAACCTGGGTTACAGGCTCAATCCCCACTAGGGGCATGCAGGAGGCAGTCGATTGATGTTTCTCTCTATCAATGTTTCTATTCCACTCCCTCTCCCTTCCTCTCTCTAAAATCAATAAAAATATATTTTTTAAAACCTAACATAGTTAAACTTTAAAATAAGTAAAGAAAGTCCTTAATGATATGCTGCTAAATGTTTAAAAATATTTACTTAACAGTTTTCTTATTTTGATTTCTTTCAAGTTTTTCCCCACAAAAACTCAAACTTAGTTTATATTAGCCTTTCTGACCTTGACAGGTTAAATAAAACCTCGGAGAAAACTAGATATAATTTATGATAATATTTGTATAATACTTGCTGCTCAAAAGTTTAAAGATTAATAGGAAGTAACTCAATCTCACATGAATAAGGTTACTGATAAAAATAATGGACCCCACATTTAAGAAAAGTCAAAAATAATAATAATAATACAAGCTAAAACAAATTGCTTAGAAAACAGTGGTTCATATCACAAAATAATTCTTCACAGTACATATTGTTCAACCCAAGAGTTCTCTTAGACCATGGGGTACCTTAGTTCCTCTAAAATTATTTATATATCAAATTTATGCTGTGCATTTTTTAATGAACAGCTCTTGTATCTAACTCAAGGTTCACATGTCTTTTCATCTCTACAATTAACAAAACCAAAGTACATAGCTTAACCAGGTTAAGTGTCTTGTCTTAGATTAAAATATAAGTCAGTGACAGAACTATGCACAAAAACTCAATTTCTTGATTCCCTATGCAATAATATCCTGTGAGTGGCAATGTAAAGCTAACTAGTAAAAGCCTCTGAGAAAAATCTGCTCAATGACTGACAGATTTAAGGACAGCCCAACTTTGAGAATCCATAAACCAAAACATAAAGTCCTCTAAGCTCTGAATGTACAATTAAGTGCTATTCCTGATGCTTTGCTGCCATCTCTGATGAGGCTAGTCAGCAAACAAGACAAACAAGCCATGTTAATTTCAAAACTCAAATATCTTTGGGAAAAGGTTGAGAATCAGAGCCAAAGTCCATAAAAAAAAAATCAGTATGTATTTGTGTATGGTGATATACACACACATCAATCACACATAAACCTCCTGGGAGTGGGATGGAAAAGTCAGACAAATTAATAGGCACAAAGATAGCTAGGGATCAGAAAGTCAGTAAAGTCACAGTGGGATGCTTACCAGGACACACAGTAATTTCCTCTGCAGAACTCTCTGGCATAAGGACTAAGCTTCTCTTACTGGTCAAAGCAGCAATGCTGAAAAAGAACCAAACCCCAAGTGAATTCCCAATAAAATAAATCAGAACACAGCACCTAAAGCAATCGTGAGTCACTCACAAAGCCACCAATAACCTGATACCTGCTGTCCAAAGCCAAAAAAGCACAACAGGGAAGCAAGGAATCAGTAGTGAAAACTCCAGGCCATTAATAGGGGAAATAAACATGCTTACAACTTTGGTTCCAGTGAAATCTCTATATGAAAAGAACACCCTTCTGGAGTCTTCACAAAGAAAGGTTGAAGGGTAAGGACTATCTATGAAGATCACAGAAGACAAAAACTACATTCCAATAAAAGGATGTCAAAGGTGTTTCAGGGTCTCCATCTCAGCCTTCTGAAGGCTAGAGATTTGTAAGCTCATAAGAGAAAATATGAAGATTCTCCTGACAGCACACTTGCAGTTAAATTTCCACTCTATCTCAAGATGTGGCTTTGTAGGCAACAAAAATAAGATACAATTCCAAACTGCCACAGAAGTTGAAAATCTCTTCTGAGAAAAACATAATTATGAATGGCTCCCCTCATCTGACCTTCTGGTTTACCCTGCCTGTTCATGGAGTGCAATCTCTTCCTGCACAGGAACACATGGCTAAGAGATCTGAGCTAGCCCCCTCATGCTCCATAGAGCTTTACCATTAGTTTGATCAAGTATACAAGAGGACACAAATCCTCACATCAACCACAGCGAAGAGAAAATAACCACCACTGATTTGTGATAAATAACTAAATCCTGATAGAAAACCACAAGTGATTTTTTTCTCTAAATAAAACATTTCATACCATTTGTTATAAACCCAAACCAGATACAGTTTACTCTGCATGTAACATTAGGACTCTATTCAAAGGGTCCATCACAAAACAATTTGCTGACATTTATAAAATGGACTAATCAATTTGAAGTCAAACCACATTGCCTGCAGTTCCAACTCTCTCCTGGTGACAAAGCGTATAATCATTTATTAAAACCTACATCTGCTCTGCACAAGGCTCACTACAACAAAGCAGAGAGGCCTAGAGGAAGCAGAACTTCAGTTAAAACCACTTCCAAAACTGTCTTAGCAGGAGAATCAAACCAAAGCCATATTCCTCAGCTCAATAAGAAATACCTAGTACTATTAACCAAAAACCTAAGAACACCAACTAAATTACAGCAAATGGCCTTAATTAATTGGGCCTCAACTTCCACATAGGAGATGGAGTAATCCCCAAAGGCCAACAAGCAGATAAAGGGAAAAGTAATTGGAAGCCTGATCCAGTTCATAACCAATCCATTACTATATATTAAAGTGAGAAGACCTAAAAAAGTAACCCTACCAATCAACCAGTGAGAATAATTAAGGAGGTAATACAAATACTACCATTTAAGAGAAAGATGATATATAATCGATGAAAAGTGGCATAGGATAGGGAGTGAGAGAGATACAGGTTCTGTGTGGCCTGAATAATATGAAGGGTTCAAAAAGGAGGTAAGTTATAAGAGTAGACTTAAAAGATATATACGGCCCAGTCAATGTAGCTCAGTGGTTGAACCAGGAGGTCACGGTTCTATTCCTGATCAGGGCACATGCCTAGGTTGCGGGCTTGATCCCCAATCAGGGGCATGCAGGAGGCAGCCTATCAATGAACCTCTCTCATCATTTAAGTATATTTTTTAAAGATGTATATGGTTTAGATATGCAGATAAAGTAAACATACTAGCAAGCAGAGGAAACAATGGGGAAAGGAGGACTAGAAGGAACATAAAGAAATCAGTTTAGAGCAGCATTTCTCAACCTGTGGGTCGCGACCCCTTTGGCGGTCGAACGACCCTTTCACAGGGGTCGCCTAAGACCATCCTGCATATAGATATTTACATTACGATTCATAACAGTAGCAACATTACAGTTATGAAGTAGCAACGAAAATAATTTTATGGTTGGGTCACAACATGAGGAACTGTATTTAAAGGACCAGAAGATTGAGAACCACTGGTTTAGAGCTTTCACATTGGCTTAGGAAGTTAGTGTACCTAGTTAAGAGAGTAGCAGGATGTAATCATTTTTCAGAAACAGTGTAAATGGGATTTGTACTAGATGGCTGGATTGGACAAGAAAACCAACAACAAAACACCCCCAAGATTTCTTCCAACCAAATATTCTAGGCTTCCATGAAGTGCATATAGGCAACAATGATTTCTCCTAGTCTATGCTTATAAAAGAGCCAAAAGATCTCTGGTAAGCTGTCCCCCAAGTCTTACTCATGTGGTTCAGCTCTCTTATTCTGGGATCAATAGAGGAGAATTCAAACCCATAACATATAATCTTACCTTTGTGACGCAGGGTCAGAGTTTCCTTCTTCAGAAGTTTCCTCAGCAAATAGACCTTGGGAAGACTGCAAAGAAATACATAACATCCTAAATATACAGGCACAGATGAACTAGTTTCTCTTCCTATAAAAAAACAACTCATTGTACAACATTATCACTCAGCAGTTAACAATAACATATTACATTATCAGTAAGTTTCAGTAAAAAGAACATTGTCTTGTGGAGACAAAAGACTGAGATTTAAATTATGGATATAATTTAATAGAAGAGTGAACCAAATTCACAATCAACACTGACAGACTGAAACACACACTTGAGATTGGCACAGGAGCTTTATAGGTACCGTGCATGCGTGAGTCAACTTAGCCACATAGATATAGAATAAACGTGCTTAATTAGACCTGCTTTCTGATTTAGCTAAACTTTTTCCTGCCCAGTGAAGCACGCCAACTTCTCTTTCAAGTAATTGTCAGCAACACAGCAGTAAATACCAATACGAAGCAGATTATTATCGTAGATCACGCAGGGAGAACAAGGGGTAAAATATTTAACTGTAGCAGCGTTTGACTATATTCTGCGCAGTGAGAAAACCTGAAGTAATTTTCAAGTTCCACCATTTCTTACTCTTTTCAGTCGGGTCAAGTTTCTAAACTTTCTAAATCTCTGTTTTCTGACAAATTAAAAGAAAATAAGATTCTACCAAGTCTCCTACCTACTCCAAGACTTCAGTGAGGATCAAATGAGATGAGGCACAGGAAAATCCTTCACAAACATTTGGTTAAAGTGTAAAATGTTTCCACCTGGCTATAAAGCAAGTCATGTTCCTGGGCTGAAGAAACTCCAGAGATGCTAGTCGCTAGGAAGAGGAAGCCAGGCATTGCTACATGACATCATTACCCAGAGCCTACAGCCACCGTTTCTGGGCTGGGCTGGGCTGGACTGGGCTGTGGACCACATTTTGCACCATGGCGTCTCGGCAGCATCGGCTGCAATTTGGTGTGGTGTCTCTCCTGGGTAGTGGTGGGGCCTGTGTCCCACTTGGGGGAAGCTGAGTGTTGGTTTGTCAGCACTAGATCCATGATGCCGTTTCTTTTTAAATGGCCAGTGCGCGTCATGGCAGCTCCTGCATTGAGCGTCTGCCTCTTGGTGGTCAGTGCACATCATAGCTTCCAGTTGGATGGTCAGAGGGATACTTAGCCTTTTATATATAGAGATATTTTTTTAATTGATTTCAGAGAGGAGGGGAGAAGAGGTAGAAACATCAATTATGAGAGAACTATTGATCAGCTGCCTCCTGCATGCCCCCTTCTGTGGACTGAGACTACAACTTGGGCAAGTACCCTGACCGGAAATCGAATCGAACTATGACATCCTGATTCATAGGTTGATGCTCAATCACTGAGCAACACCGGCCTGGCTGTTTCCTCATCTTAAAATGAGTATTAACAATTGCTTAGCTAGCCCTAGCTGGTTTTGGCTCAGTGGATAGTGTCAGCCTGTGGACTAGGGAATCCCAGGTTCGATTCCGGCCAAGGGCACATGCCCGGGTTGCAGCTCGATCCCCGCAAGGGGGCATATAGGAGACAGCTGATCAATTATTCTCTCTCATCATTGATGTTTCTATCTCTCCCTCTCCCTTCCTCTCTAAAACCAATAAAGATATTTTTTTTTAAAAAAAACTGCCTAGTCATAGCTGGTTTGGCTCAGTGGACAGAGCATTGGCCTACAGACTGAAGGGTCCCAGGCTCGATTCCAGTCAAGGGCACATGCCTGGGTTGCAGGTTTGATCCTCAGTACGGAGCGTGCAAGAGGCAG